AGAGCCCAGCCACCCTATGGAGGAAACCCATTTCGGCCGCTTGTATCCGGGATCTCGTTCTTTCGGTCATGACCATAAATGAGCGTAGGAACGTAGACCGACCGGTAAATCGAGAGCTTCGTTTTTTGACTCGGCTCTCTCTTCACCACGACGGACCGGTACATCGCCCGCTTCACGACAAACGCTGCGCCAATCCGCCTGTCGATCTCCCGTTCCCTTCTTCCCTCATTCGTGAACAAGATCCTGAGATACTTAAACTCTTCCAGGAGGAGATTACATATATAGAGAGTCATTGATACTTGTTAGCATTAAAAACAGTTACTCATTCCTGTATAAACCCTTAAAAAAAAGCACGGCCAGGAGAAGGAGGGGTCACTCCAATGGCTGGAAGTTGGCTGGCGTTTAACTGGGAAGGGCCATTTTGAAATGCTGCTTCTGTAATGCTTCACTCTGACATCACTGCCCATATATGGTAGCAGTAAAAATTTCTTTTATTCCTAGCTCATAATCTAAGAGCAAATTCTGACAAATTAATAATGAAAAGAAAAACTCAGTTTACTGAATCTACATCTGTTGATTTAAAAGAGAATTAAAATAAAAATGTAAACAGTTAACCACATTGCTCATAACGGAAACAAAATTCCCTTCAACATGTGAGAACAAGCAGATGAGCTGTTTTGTAAGCTTTTGTTTTTCAGTTTTCAGGCTGTGAAACATGTTTAAACTGGCATATCTACTATCTAACCCCTCTAACCGTTTCTTTATTTTTTTTACCTATCCTAACCATCTGCGTTCCATGTCCACAGACGCTGGTGTTGGTTTATAAAAGGGCATGATACGACCAATGAGATGAGTATGTGTGCTCTGGGTTGTTTATGTCCTCAAAGCGTGGATGTATCTGTGTGTGTGTAAGCATTCTCAATCTTTCCACGCCATGAACTGGGTCCTGGTTTATTTCATTGGGTCATGGAAGTAAACACCACTTACAGCTGAAGCTCTCAAAACAGTTCATGAGCAACAAAATAACCCTGAAATGCGTTTATGATTTAAGAACATGGTCTGATGTATTATTTTGGTCCCAATTAATACTTTCAAATGATGAAGTTATATCACAGTAGCCTATTATAGGTAATTTAATATACATTAGATAAGTTATGCTTTTGGTTAAATACACATTTTTAGGAGTTGTTCTTATCAGCTAAAATTCCAGATATTACAGCAAGTATAGCAATATTTAATATATTCAGATATGGATTCATTTTTTTGTGTTTTTATACTTTTATTTTTAAGTAAAATAATGTGAAACTTGAACAACATGAGTGTCCTCATTCCAATAAAAGTAAAAATAAAAATAAATAAATAAACAATCCACTGGACTTTTTTTGTCAAGTTTGAAGACATTTCGCTTCCATCCAGGTAGCTTTGTCAATTCAAAATTCATTCTTCGATTCATTTCGAATTGAAAAATCTTCCTGGATGGGAAGCAAAACGTCTTCAAACTTGGAAACAAAATCCAGTGGATTGT